ATGAAAGGGAGTTGCTGGTATTGTGAGAAGGAAGGGCACCCCTGGTTTTTGTGCTATAAGAAACCCGATGGATGGACCCCCCAGAATCGTCACCAGGATGGCGGCGCGCGGAGGAACCAGAAAAACGGCGCCAACATGGTCGCTGATTCGTCCGACAACAACCCGAAGGGCAACGGCGGTGCGGAGAAGAAGAAGGAGCGCACCGCGGGCCAATTCTTCCATATGGGAGACAAGGGGGAGCAAGGAGACGCATCTGCTAAGGCTGGAGCAGAGCTGCACCCCCTGGACTATTGGGTGTTGGACACAGGCGCTGCTTGGACAATGACGCCGCGCAAGGACCTGCTGGACGACGTACGTGCTGCACCGATTAATGAGGTGTGCTCTGCCTCTGGACACATGTTGAAGGTGGCTGGTGCGGGACGAGCTGCATTTAAGGGAGCGGATGGCAAGCCGGTGGTGCTGCACGACGTTCTCCTCGTCCCCGACCTGAAGGCCAACCTCATCTCCCTCCGTAAGCTTGGCAAGGCTGGGGTGAACACCAACACGGATGGGGCTCGCACTTATAAGGGGAAGCTGGGCAATCGGGTGCTTTGGGATCTGCACGAGAGCAAGGACGTGTACAGATCTATGTGGCAGCTGCCGGCGCTGGCGTGGCACGGTGGGGGGCAGGCTGGAGAGGGGTCTGCATCCCAGGGGGAGTGCAACGCCGTTGGAGGGGTTGGTGTGAAAGTGTCGGCCAGATCTGGGGAGACAGATTGGGCAACTGCACACCGACGATTGGGGCATGTGGCAATGCCTTTGCTGAAGCAGCTGGAGAAGGATGGAGCCGTTAAGGGCTTAAAGCTGAACGGACAACCACCCGATGATAACTGTGAAATTTGCCTCCTTTAAAAGTTCACCCGTTTCCCCTTCCATAGTGTGGCTGGCAGGAGCAAAAAGCCGTTGGAGCTGGTCCACATGGACTTGGTGGGGCCGCTGCCGGTGCAAGGGCACAAGGGGGAGCGGTACTTCTTAACCATAGTGGATGACTGGAGCAGGCTAATGTGGGCGTATCCGCTGAAGCAGAAAGATCACGCCGCCTCCACGATTCGGGACGATTGGCTGCCGTTCGTGGAGAAGCAAGCGGAGTGTGTGGTGAAGCGGATTAGGACAGATCGGGGTGGTGAGTTCCTTGGAGCTGAGATGACGGCCTGGCTCAAGAAGCAGGGCATCCAGAGGGAGCTGACCACGGCTTACACCCCACAGTCCAACGGTGTAGCAGAACGGGCGAACCGGACAATTCTGGAGACAGCTAGGGCGCTGCTCATAGAATCTGGGCTGGGCAACTTGATGTGGCCCCATGCTGTTCGGCACGCTACCGTCGCTAGGAACAGGGTACTCACAAAGGTTGGGGATGACTCGTGGGTGCCGTTGGAGAGGTGGCTTGGGAGGAAGCCGCCGGTGGACATGCTGAGGGTGTTCGGTTGCATGGCAGTCGCCCACGTTCCCAAGACCTACCGCAGTAAGTTGGGGGCGAGTGCAATCTGGTGTGTGCATTTGGGGCTGGCTGCTGAGAGCAAGGGATGGCTGCTGTGGGAGCCTTCCAAGGGTGTGTTGTTTGACAGCAGGGATGTGAAGTTTGTTGAGGGCATGATGTATGGGAGCTGGGAGAAACAGCCGGAGGCCAGGGTGTCCCAGCAGATGGAGCAGATTACCATGCAGCTGGACCTGACTCCTAGTGTGTGGGAGGAGGGAGAGGAGGCAGCTGCAGAGGGTGGTGATAAAGAGAAGGTGCAGGAGGCACCTGCTGGTGGAGGTGATGGTGTGGAGATTAGCGGTAGCACTAGTGGAGCTGCTGGATCCGAGGGAGGAGAGCAGCAGCAGGGGAAAACTAAGAAGCCGAAGGGTGTTATTATGAAGGGATGGGAGACACCCGTCTCCAGGCCAGGACGTACCCGTATGGCTACTAAGAAGCTGAGTGCAGGAGCTGATGTAGCGGAGCAGCAGCTTGGGACCGAGGAGGCATTGCTGATTCTACCGCATGGCTATGACCCGGATGAGGAGGATCAACCTGCGTACTGTTTTCTTGCCCCTGCACCAGAGGAACCAGCTAGCATGGAGGAGGCATTAGCTGGACCAGATAGGGACAAATGGCTAGCTTCCAGGGATGCCGAGTACCAGAGCCTGCTGGAGAATGGGACTTGGGAACTAGTGGTGCTGCCTGAGGGAAAGAAAGCGGTACAATGCAAGTGGGTGCTAAGGATCAAGACTGACGACAAGGGGCAGGTCACCATCTACAAGAGTAGGTTGGTGGCTAAGGGGTTTATGCAGAAGGAGAAGCGGGACTTCAATGAGATCTTTGCTCCCACTGCCAAACCCCCTACCCTTCGTGTCTTGTTGGCAGATGCAGCCGTTAGTGGGAAGTTCATTATCCAGATGGACATATCAACGGCATTTCTCAACGGGATTTTAGAGGAGGAGGTGTTCATGACGCAGCCACCTGGGTATGAGGATGGTACGGGTAGGGTGTGCAAGCTGAAAAAGTCCATCTACGGCTTGAAGCAGGCGCCACGCTGCTGGTACCAGAAGTTGGCAGCTGTTTTAGAGGAGATGGGATTCAGGACCAGCAGCTGTGATGAGAGCCTCTTTCTCAAGGGGGAGGGGGAGAAGCTGGTGCTGTTTCTGGTCTATGTGGACGACATTCTTCTCTTTAGCAGCAGCATGAAGGAGATCCAGAAGGTGCAGCAGCAGCTGATGGAGAACTTCAAGTGCAAGAACCTTGGGGAGGTAAAGTACTACCTCGGGATGCACGTGGAGAGGGATCTGGATCACAGGTGGTTGAAGCTGCACCAGGAGAAGTTCATCAAGGAGCTTGGGGAGAAGTACGGAATTGAGAATGAGCGCAAGGTTGCAACTCCCCTGCCAGCAGAATTCAGGCTTGTGAAAGCTGCAGAGGATGAAGGGGTTGAAGCCGAGGAGCAGCAGCAATTTCAGTCCTTGGTGGGCAGCCTCTTGTATGCAGCAGTTCACACGAGACCCGACATCTCTTTCTCGGTTGGGCAGCTGGCTAGGGTAGTGCAGAATCCATCAGAGGAGCAGGTGGATGCAGCTGAGCGTGTGGTGAAGTATCTGAACTCTCACCCAAGCATTGGAGTTCAATACTCCGCATCTGCACAGGTGAAGCAGAAAGGGGTTGAGGTGCTGAAAGAGAAGGGGGAGAGGCTTGGAGAAGGCAAGCTTTTTCTTACTTGCTTTACTGATGCTACGTGGGCCTCTGAGAAGGAGGATTCCTCATCTGTGGGAGGATACATCTGCGTAGTTGGGGGAGGACCGGTTAGTTGGAGGTCAAAGAAGCAGACGGAGACAGCACTCTCTTCCGTGGAATCAGAGTACATGGCGATGTTCCATGGGGTGAAGGAGGTGATTTGGCTGAGGAGGCTGTTGGAGGAGATTGGCCAGGAGCAAAAGGTTGCTACGCCGCTGTTTTGTGATAGCAAGGGAGCTCTTGGGATGGCCAGGAACGCTGTGCTTCATGGGCTGAATAAGCACATGCGTATCAAGTGGCACTGGCTGCGTAAGGAGGTGAAGAGGGGGACGGTGAATCCGATCTACATCAAGACTCACCAGCAGCCAGCAGACTTCCTCACCAAGAGGCTTGCGGATGAGTCTCATTGGCGTTGTGTGCGCATGAGTGGAATGAGCATGAACTAGTATGGAATGATGGGGATGCAGCCGGCAGGCTGAGGGGGAGTGTGTTGGGTGCAAATTTACATTGCACGACATCCTGCCGTCTGTTTGTACGAGTATGCGTGTGCGAATGCATTTGCGTGTGAATGGTATGTTTGTGTGTTTGTTTGCTTTCGCAATTTTCGCTTGAAGCATTTGCAGGTACTCGCACAATGTGCGCTTCGGCATAACATTGTACGCGCTATGAACAGTACAAGCAGAAAGGACGAGCTCGCAAAGGAACCCAAGATGGAAGCTTTGCGGTTCGGCTTACTTGATTGCGCAGATTCAGTTCTATCCAACTCGAAATTGTACTGTTTTGTTTGGTTGACTATAGTGTAGCAGGGCAGGCACTATAGGGGTACAATTTAGGTGAAGGTTGGATGTTGTTTGTCTGTATCTGCATGCTACAGGGCCAGGGGAAACCAGCGGAACCAGCATTTGGCTGGTTGGGCAAAGACAAAACAGGTTCTGTTTTTAGGACCTGAACCTGGTTGTTGTTTTCCCAGGTTGGAAAAACAGAACCAGAGGTTGTTCACCAACCTATCACCTGCTATTTTGTCCAGCCAGGTTAGTTCTGTTGCTTGGAATTATTTGGGATCATCCCTGGTTGTTCCCAGGTTGATTCCCAAGGTCCTTGCTAGCTAGAGCTATTTATTCCTTCTCTGTTTGTACCTGAATATAGTAAAATTGATTCAGGCGAATTCCTTCCTTGCTGGAATTTCGTTTTCTACGCGGTGCGACGGCGGAATGCTACCCGAGTCAACGCTAGTACGCTAGCACTCCAACGCTAGGCTAACGCTGTCCGAGCCATAACTTCGTAATGGCAGAACTTTTCGCGAGGCAACTTGGCTTATTTTAAAGCTCTTAGAGTGAGCTTCGATATAGGAAATTCTCAGCTTAATCCGATCGACGGTCTGCACGATACGCTGCGCAACGTTCAAGGTACTCTTGCTGTTTTGACTAAGTCCCTCTTGATCCCTCTCTCTACAAACTCGGACCCGAGGATAGGGGCTGGTCTTGTACCAGGCACCCAAGGACCCTTGGAGGTGACACCGAGGAGAGGTTTTAAGTGTGATAAAGTTTTAATAGCTTGAGTTTATTAGGCCCTTACACCAACACAATGTTATGCCGAAGCGCACATTTTGCGAGTACCTGCAAATGCTTCAAGCGAAAATTGCGAAAGCAAACAAACACACAAACATACCATTCACACGCAAATGCATTCGCACACGCATACTCGTACAAACAGACGGCAGGATGTCGTGCAATGTGAATTTGCACCCAACAGTTAGTCATTCAAGCTCCGGCCTCACCCGCATGTCGGCATCCAGCAGCACGTTGGCCGGCTTCATATCGCGGTGCGTGATCCGACGGTTGTGGAGGAAGCTCAGCCCATCCACCACGTCCACCAGCACCGCCAGCCTCACACGCAATGACATGGGCTTGGCCCCTGTGAGGTGGGGGTGTAGGAGAATGAAGAGGGCACGATGGAATGAAGGAATGGAGGCATGAAGTCATGGGTTTGGCTCCGGGGAGATGCTGTGAAGACATGGAAAAATGAATAGGGCCTCCAGAACAAGTGCTTGCAAGCTTGGCTCCTGAAAGGCACTGGCATGGGGAAGCAGTGAGAGGAGGGCTTGGGGAATGGGAGTATAGAGGGATGGGATGGGAGGGCTCCCCATTCTTCCACCCTCTATTACTTTCTCCCAACTGCCTCCGTCATCATTCGACATCCGTCATCATTCGACATCCGTCATCATTCGACATCTTTCATCATTCGACATCCGTCATCATTCGACATCCGTCATCATTCGACATACGTCATCATTCGACATCCGTCATCATTCGACATACGTCATCATTCGACATCCGTCATCATTCGACATCCGTCATCATTCGACATACGTCATCATTCGACATACGTCATCATTCGACATACGTCATCATTCGACATACGTCATCATTCGACATACGTCATCATTCGACATACGGCATCATTCGACATACGTCATCATTCGACATACGTCATTATTCGACATATTCATTGAATACGAATCGTCCTTTCATTGGATCACCACTAACATACATATATATATACATATACAGTATCATTACCTTTTTTGTCAACGTTATCTCTATTATACTAGGAACCATCATACGAAGTGTACTGCCATCCTTTGTATTCTGAAGGATACATCAAACCCTAAACTCTAAACCCTAAACAACAGTGAGGTTTTGAGACATGAAGATCTGCATCCTTCCTTTTGAAAAGCGTGGGCTTCCTAAAATCAGTTTGTAAAAGGTGCAAATGGGAAGAAAAGGCAACTCATGTTTGAATGACTCATTGTTGCTGGCATGCATATTGAAATCGAATTATAGAAGTGGTTGACTTCAATAGCTTAACTTGGACATTTCCCCTCCTATTTTGGACTATAGATTTTACAGCTCAACCATCCTTTGTGTACTGCCATCAAACCTTATTGAACAAGCCCTGCTGGCCTAACCGCACCTGGCATGGTCCACTGGGAGAGATCCCCATTGGGCATGAACTGAGACACGATGATTTGCTCCATCTGCAGGGTCTCCTCATTGTAGTCGATGCAGTACCCCAGCAGCGGCACCACTGCTGGGTGCTTCAGCCGTGACATGTCTGCCACCTGGGAGAGGGAGGATGTTGGATGCACGTCATTCTGAGTGCATATCATCCTAACGTCCTGCCGAGTGCTCGTGCTATTCATGCGTGCATTGTTTGCATGTGCATATGTCATGGTGCATGGCTGTTGGATATTTTCATCTCTGTGTTTTTCTCCAAGTTTAAATGCTTGATCATGCTGGAGAAATCCAGAGCTTTCCAACGATACCAAGATCACCTTATTCCGACCAAGATCGCACAAGTTACAAGATTTCCAAGACTTGGATTTCTCATCACCTTTTGGGGTTATATCTAATTTGGGTGATTACTTGGACATGACTATAAACGGATCTTTGGTTGGGTGGTTAGGAAGGCAACTTTGACTTTTGGTTGGGGTGGCTAGAAGTTTCAAGCATGGGTTGCAAATGCTGCAACACCTAGGCAAAATCCAACTAGATTGGATTTTGCATGTGACACCTGAAGGACCTCATGATGAGGGTTGCATCCTTGCTGCTAGGAAGGTTCCTACCATGCTTCCCTAGCTCTTGGAGAACCCCTTCCCTCTCATGGTTCTCTTGGAGGTTCCCAACTCCAACTTTTTATGCCCTACATGCTTGTACTTCCTCCACCAATCTAGTCATGCGGCTGCTGGACGTTTTTACTTGGTTCTCACTCTATAGACCATCTTAACGACTGATTCAACTTAGAGATGGTAGCTAAGCCTAAGACGCAACTTCCTACCGAGCGGATTTGCGTTTAGTTGAGTAATGAGTTCGTCGTAAGCTCTCAAAATGACGGATCCTGAACAACGGAGGATGGTCAGGAAGACGAAGTAAAAGAACGAGGTGTGCGTGAGAGCCAAGTTGTAGCTGATGCAGTACCCAGCACCACTAGTAGCCTTGCGCGCTGCAACAACAACTGTGAGGTTTTGAGACATGAAGATCGGCATCCTTCCTTTTGAAAAGTGTGAGCTTCCTAAAATCAGTTTGTAAATGGTGCAAATGGGAAGAAAAGGCAACTCATGTTTGAACTTGACTCATTGTTGCTGGCATGCATATTGAAATCGACTTATAGAAGTGGTTGACTTCAATAGCTTAAATTGGACATTTCCGCTCCTGTTATGGACTATAGATTTTACAGCTCAACCATCCATTCGTCTTTAGACTGATTTCAACCCTTAACGTAATCCCTTCGCAATGTTGGTATACATCTCTTCCCAAGATCAGTGAGACCATTCGTTTTTTTCCAGAGTTCTCCTCACTGCATAGTGCTCACATCTTTGATAGCGACAAAAAATACATCGTTGTAAAAAAAAAAAAAAAAAAAAAAAACCTTAAACGAAAAGCTTCCTGGTTTTCAATCTCATTCCAACCCATCTGACCCATTTCCCATATTCAGAATTTGCAGTTTTGTACTGCAAACAGCATCCTTATCTGCTAACCACTTGCACAAAGTCATTGGAGGGGGCCGTGGCACGTTTGACAGCCCACACCCGCCCCACGCCGTATAAAATATGTGATGTCCCTCACCTCCTTCATAAAGTCGTTGGAGAGGGCCGTGGCGTGCTTTATGGCCCAGAGCACCTCCGGGTCTTGCGGGTCCACGCCCTTGTACACGTTGCTGAAGCCCCCCGAGCCGATCGGGTTGGCCTCCGAGAAGAAGTTGGTGGCCTGCTGGATGTCCGCCAGTGAGTACTGCTTGCAGGCTGGGGGAGGAGAGGGAGGTGGGGGGAGGGGGGGGAAGGGGGTGGTGGAGAAGGGGTGGTGGACAATGGAGGGAGGGGTGAGGGTGGATAGAGGGAAGCATTTTTCTAGGATCTGACCCAATCAGACTGACCTTCGAGAAGAAGTTGGTGGCCCGCTGGATGTCTGCGAGTGAGAAGCAAGACATGAGAAAGAAACGGGGCTGGAATGAGGCATTTGTTTTGTGGAAACTAAGCTGATGAGTAGAGGAGGAGAGAATTGGGTGAAGACAGAGGGAGGCAGAGGTGAGTGGCAATGTCTTTGAGTGTCTGTTTATGCACTGGCAGTTCAGCCACCCACAGGCGGCTTGGCTTGTTCAGTTCATAATAAATTGCAGCATCCTACAAGGCTTCGTTTGGCGGAAGCAGAACCAGAGCAAGATGATCAGGGCAATGAGAGCAAGGAGTGCAATGAGTGCCGCCGCCACTACGGCTGCTATGACCCCCGGGAAGCCAAGGGGTTGGTTGAAGCATGGAGAGGGAGAACCGAAAAAAGGAGAGAGGGCAATGACAATGATGAGAGTTTGGAATGAGTGTGCAAGTGTGGCTGCGATAGCTTATAGTCAGAGTGGGGTGGTGGTGGCAGAGCAGAGCAGGCAAGCGGTGTGATAGGGGATTGTGAGAATACGGTGGTGGGAGAAGGAGAGATGGAGGGACAAATATTGACGATTTCGTTTTTGCAAAGAGTTTAGCAAGGCGTAATTGATTCCCGCCAGATCTGCGCCAAGCCTCACAATAACTATTGTAGGGCTTTTGTGAAAGTGCGTGAACACCTTGTTTTCCACCGTTATCTGGCTAGGCCATTATGGATTTCAAAATGGTTGATGTAGGGTTGGTTAGCAGCCAAGACAAGGCCATTCCTGGCCCATCCGCACTAGTTACTGCAACTGGGACCGCAAGCCCTCTCGTACCTCTCGAGCTCATAGGGGGGCAATACATAGGAGTACCCACGTCACCAAAGAGCAACAGGTTTAGTGGCAGGGGGCTGGCTGCACCCTCACATCGGTATGGGAAGTCTCGTGATGAGACCGACGAGAATTCAGAGGAGGCCGAGGAGGATGCGGAAGGGGGGCCCCCTAATGTCAAGGGTGGTGGGGGGGAGGGGAAGCCAAAGGGATTGGCTGGAGAGTGGCGGCTGGAAAAGAAGCGCCTACGCATCCAACGTAGTCCATCCGATAGCAATGACGAGGATTATGATCCAAAGAAAGATAGGGATTGCGCGGGGTTGAGGGATGACGAGGAGGAGGAGGAGAAGGGTGAGGAGGAGGAGGAGGAGGAGGAGGAGGAGGAGGAGGAGGAGGAGGGGGAGGAGGAGGAGGAGGAGGAGGAGGAGGAGGGGGAGGAGGGGGAGGGAGAGGGTAGTGGTGAGGAGGCTGAGGAGGAGGAGGAGGAGGTGTCATAGCCGGGGAAGGCTAAGGGGAAGGCCAAGGGGAAGGCCAAGGGGAAGGCCAAGGGGAATGCCAAGGGGAAGACCAAAGGCAAGGGGAATGGGAAGAAGAAGGGCAAGGGTAAAGGCGTACAAGGTCAGGAGGAGGGGGGGGAAGATGACGGTATGGCCGCGTCGGTAGATGAAAATGATGGGCCTTTAAAGGCCAAGAAAGGGTGTAAGAATGCCCCGGGGTGGCAGGTCCAGATGTTCGGGCCATTGGGGGCGAAAGAGAAGCGCAAGTGTAAGATGTGCGACACTCGTATCTGCTGGTCGACGAGCACTACGACTCCAAGGGTGCACCACATGCTTGCGAAGCACACAGCGCACCACGGCATTTGGCAGTATAGGTCCCTTAGACCACACCTACTGACTAAGGGGGAGACTTTCCCAGAGGGTGGCTACGATGGAGTTCCCAACAAGAAGTTGGTGGATTGGCCACACGTGGCCTCGTGGCCCAATATCCCGGTGGTGCAGACCGCGAGCGCGAAGGGTGAGGCAGGTGGCATTGAGCGCTTTGTTATAGCGAGGGTGAGTAAGCTAAAGCTTCGTGTGGCGATCACGAAGCTTGTGGTGACCGGCGACTTGCCCTTTCGCATCGTCGAGCTGGGTGCGGGGAGAAAGCTTTCACCCCATGTGCTATTCGATGTGCTTTGATGGATTGAGATTGCTGGCTGCACGTGCTACTTCATTGCAGTCCAGCCAACGTGTCATCAACGCTGAGGATGCAACAACACCATTATGATAGTTTATGATATACGGTCACCCATGCTACACATGCCATGCCCCTATTAACGAATTGAGGTCCACCTTAATCGCCCCTCCTCGTGCTTGTATATACAACACCAGTTCAAGGAGTTGCTGATCATGCTGAACGAAAAGTGTGGGGAAAAGGGCGTTATCCCATCACGCTGGATGGTGGCGAGTGACACCGTTGTCCTTGCTGACTTGGCGCTCAAGGCAGCGATTGCAGAGCTGGCCTCTACAGCATGTGCCGTGTCGTACAGCACTGATATGTGGCCAGGCCCGAACGACAAGGCCTACATGGTGCTGACAGGTCACTGTTGGTGTAAGGGCCTAATAAACTCAAGCTATTAAGACTTTATCAAACTTAAAACTGTTGGTGTAAGGGCCTAATAAACTCAAGCTATTAAGACTTTATCAAACTTAAAACCTCTCCTTGGGGTCACCTCCAAGGGTCCTCTGGGTGCCAGGTACAAGACCAGCCCCTATCCTCGGGTCCGAGTTTGTAGAGAGAGGGATCAAGAGGGACTTAGTCAAAACAGCAAGAGTACCTTGAACGTCGCGCAGCGTATCGTGCAGACCGTCGATCGGATTAAGCTGAGAATTTTCTATATCGAAGCTCGCTCCAAGAGCTTTAAAATGAAACAAGTTGCCTCGCAAAAAGTTCTGCCATTACGAAGTTGTGGCTCGGACAATATTTGCCTAGTGTTGGAGTGCTAGCGTACTAGCGTTGACTCGGGTAGCATTCTGCCATCGCACCGCGTAGAAACGAAATTCCAGGAAGGGAAGAATTCACTTGAATCAAATTGACTATATCCAGGTACAAACAGAGAAGGAATAAATAGTTCTATCTAGCAAAGACCTTGGGAATGAACCTGGGAACAACCAGGGATCATCCCAAATAATTCCAAGCAACAGAACCAACCTGGCTAGACAAAACAGCAGGTGGTAGGTTGGTAAACAACCTCTGGTTCTGTTTTTCCAACCTGGGAAAACAACAACCAGGTTCAGGTCCTAAAAACAGAACCTGATTCGTCTTTGCCCAACCAGCCAAAAACTGGTTCCGCTGGTTTCCCCTGGCCCTGTAGCATGCAGAAACAGACAAACAACATCCAACCTTCACCTAAATTGTACCCCTATAGTGCCTGCACTTCTACACTGTAGTCAATCAAACAAAACTGTACAATTTCGAGTTGGATAGAACTGAATCTGCACAATCAATTCAACCGAACCGCAAAGCTTCCATCTTGGGTTCCTTTGCAAGCTCGTCCTTTCTGCTTGTACTGTTCATAGCGCGTACAATGTTGTGCCAAAGCGCACAATGCGTGAGTACCTGCAAATGCTTCAAGCAAGAATTGTGAAAGCAAACAAACAGACAAACATTCCATTTACACCCAAATGCATTCGCACACGCATACTCGTACAAACAGACCGTAGGATGTCGTGCAATGTGAATTTGCACCCAACAAAACCTTGGGGAGGTAAAGTACTACCTCTGGATGCACGTGAAGTTCTCCATCAGCTGCTGCTGCACATTCTGGATCTCCTTCATGCTGCGGCTAAAGAGAAGAATGTCGTCCACATAGACCAGAAACAACACCAGCTTCTCCCCCTCCCCCTTGAGAAAGAGGCTCTCATCACAGCTGCTGGTCCTGAATCCCATCTCCTCTAAAACAGCTGCCAACTTCTGGTACCAGCACCGTGGCGCCTGCTTCAAGCCGTAGATGGACTTTTTCAGCTTGCACACCCTGCATGTACCATCCTCATACCCAGGCGGCTACGTCATGTACACATCCTCCTCTAAAATCCCATTGAGGAATGCCATTGATATATCCATCTGAATGATGAATTTCCCACTAACGGTTGCATCTGCCAACAAGACACGAAGGGTAGGGGGTTTGACAGTGGGAGCGAAAATCTCATTGAAGTCCCGCTTCTTCTTCTGCATAAACCCCTTAGCCACCAGCCTACTCTTGTAGATGGTGACCCGTCCCTTGTCATCGGTCTTGATCCTTAGCACCCACTTGCACTGTACAGCTTTCTTCCCATCAGGCAGCACCACCAGCTCCCATGTCCCATTCTCTAGTAGGCTCTGGTACTCAGCATCCCTAGAAACCAGCCACTTCTTTCTATCTGGTCCAGCTAATGCCTCCTCCATGCTAGCTGGTTCCTCTGGTGCAGGGGCTAGAAAACAGTAGGCAGATTCATCCTCCTCATCTGGGTCATAGCCATGAGGTAGAATCAGCAATGCCTCCTCTGTCCCAAGCTGATGTTCTGCTACATCAGCTCCTGCAGTCAATTTCTTAGTAGCCATACGTGTACGTCCTGGCCTGGAGACGGGTGTCTCCCATCCCTTCATAACAACACCCCAGTTGTAGATCGAGGTGGGGATGGTTCATGTCGATGTTCTTCAGATATCTGCAGGCAACGCAGAAAGCAAAGTAAAGGACAGTAATTGGGTGTCGTGCAGAGGGCAGGAAGATTTAGCAGTGCAGAGGGGAGCAAGATGCAGCAGTAAAGAGGGCAGCAAGGGGAGGGAATGTAAAGGGAAGCATGTGGTTGTGCGTCCACGAGAAGTCATGCGATTAAGAAGGGATGTACATTGATCTGCAAGCAACGGCATGCAAAAAATGGTTTTCATTATCCACAGGGCAACGAGGCTCACTCAGGGCAACGAGGCACTCACAGAGCAACGAGGCACCCACAGAGCAATGAATTTGGTGAGTTCTCCAAGTAAGGAGGGGATGGTGCTGTTGAGCTGGTTGTCTCGCAACCACCTGATGGGTGGGACTCAGGGAACAGGTGTGTGTGGGCACATGACATGTCGTGATAGGTGTAGTGCATGAATGAACTTGCACTTGTGCATAGGGGTGTAGGTACTTGATCTGAAATTGTTCAACAAGGAACACACTAGAGCATAAGAGGACTCTTTAATTAACAACAATGGGTTGGAAACGGTAGGAGGGAAATCGGGGACGATGCTCTACGAAATTAGCTGGAACCTTTTCATTGCTTAAGAGATTCTGGGTTTAGCTGAGTCTGGGATATACGCAAACACCCACACTTCACATAATTAGCACTTGACAAAACAAGTACAAGTATGTACCCGGGGAATCATTCCCTTGCAGCTCTGTGACGCAATTTTTAAGTTGTCTCAGTTATCGTCCGTGCGCATAGGGCGAACATGTGCAGGCTGTGCACAGTGACAGCATCTCATATGTACCTTACAAGGCTAGTGGACTGTGCAGCTTGTGTACTGTGAAAACATGTGGTTGTACCTGGGATCCTGTTTATACTTGGGAGCATATTTCTACCTTAAAGGGGGAGCCTGGGCTTACAGCTCTGTGAGGTTGTGCAGGTTCGCCAAGGAGACCGGCACAGTGCCGCTGAGCTGGTTGTAACTCAGCTCCCTGCCGTAAGGGACGCATCCACAGGGCAAGGCACATAATGGGGAACACAAATAATGTGCAAAACACAAGTAACAAGCAGCAACGCACACAGAGATAGCATGGAAAAACAACAGGCGATATTGCCTAAGCTGGTGGGAGCAAACCCCGACGCGTTTAGAGACACTTTGTTGTATGTCAGCGTGCTGTCAGCAGGCCACTTTACACCACACACACGACTCACGTTTGCTGCAGGTGCGAGAGAGTGCGTAAGCTGGTGGGGATGGACTCGGTGAAACGATACATTTGTTATATCAGCGTGCTGTCTACACACAAGACTCACTGTCGCTGCAGGTGGGAAAGAGTGCCCAGGCTGGTGGGTATGGACCCTGTGAAACCATTGGTGCGCATCCCCCTGCATGCGTTGTAGCAGAGAGAGGCGTGTCATGGGGGAAAACAGTACAGGCACGTCAAGACGGGCAGGGCAAAACGGGCAGGGCAAGAGGGGCATTAGAATGGTGGCTAAAATAGCGCAAGGAAGGGTGTGGCAAGGAAGGGTGTGGCAAGGTGGTACAAATGATCTGTGTGACATTCCCATGTCCATACATCCCGTCGTCCATGATACAGGGGGATAAACACAAGGCTCATCCCATTTAAGGTATACATCTCATTCTCCACCTCTAATGAACGGTTACTTCCTTACATCTCTGCTATGGAGGTGTCAAGGTTCCCTTCCCTAGTTGTGTTACTTCTTGTCCGTACATGTTTTGATGGTTGCATGTGTTTCAGGCTCCTCAGAAGTGGAAGCAAGCGAATGGCCAACCTGTGCTAGCTAATTGTATGTCTTTTGAGGCCGCTCAAAAGTGCTAGCTAGTTGCGTGTTCTCCTTACATCTTCCTGAGCGCTGTGAGCTCGGACACGAAGTCTGGCAAGTCTGCGTTCATACTATTGAATGCCACAGAGCTGCACGAGGAGAGGGTGGTAGGGCAGAATGAAAATATGCGGGGTCATCTGTATGCATAGTGATGTGGGTGGAGGAACAGGTGCAGGAAACCCTCAAAGAGGAGAGGAAGACAGCAGAAGGGGCAAAAGGGGATGTCATTCTCAGTGATTCTAATCAAAAGCAAACTCACTGTGCTGGGAGTTGGAGCAAAGCACTCATAGTTAGTGAGTTCGGAGGCCAGACCAGCAGTGTGCATCAGATGCTGCAGCGTTGACTGACTCAAAAATCATCCTGCTTGATCTAGAGCGGCTATTATCAGAGACTACAAATGGATGTTGGTGTAAGGGCCTAATAAACTCAAGCTATTAAGACTTTATCAAACTTAAAACCTCTCCTCGGGGTCACCTCCAAGGGTCCTTGGGTGCCTGGTACAAGACCAGCCCCTATCCTCGGGTCCGAGTTTGTAGAGAGAGGGATCAAGAGGGACTTAGTCAAAACAGCAAGAGTACCTTGAACGTCGTGCAGCGTATCGTGCAGACCGTTGATCGGATTAAGCTGAGAATTTGCTATATCGAAGCTTGCTC